GTCTGTTGTGCAGCAATCTTTAACAGTCCACCAGGAAACAAAAGCAAGATCCAGTATTGCATCAGTGAGTGCTTTAGTGGAGCAACTAAATGCTGGATAAAAAAAAAAACTTTGTGAAGTTCCCAACTTTTAAAAGACATTCAAGCGTTTTGTATGTAGTTGAATTTAAAAGAGATGTGTTAATATGTTTAGTGGCTATAGAACCCAGACCTTTTGCTGTTAGGCAAAGGTCTGGCTATGCAAGACTAGGTAGTTCCTACATTTTTTAAAAGTAAATGTAGGCATAATATCTAATTTAGTTCATTAAAAGTTATGTTAAAAAAGTGCTATAGCTGTAACAAAAGTGATCCTTGTCTTGTCCATTAAATGTGGAAAAGTTTTGAGGAACCTATTCTGGTGGTCCTGGAGGTCCTAGCCTGCTGATCCCTAGTCTCAGACGTCACACTAATGGGCTGACCATGCTCCATTTAATGAGCATCTGATGCATATGGAAAACTAATATGGAAACAAATCTAATTGGCTGTTTTTCACAGGTTTTCAGGGAGTCTGTTGTGCAGCAATCTTTAACAGTCCACCAGGAAACAAAAGCAAGATCCAGTATTGCATCAGTGAGTGCTTTAGTGGAGCAACTAAATGCTGGATAAAAAAAAAAACTTTGTGAAGTTCCCAACTTTTAAAAGACATTCAAGCGTTTTGTATGTAGTTGAATTTAAAAGAGATGTGTTAATATGTTTAGTGGCTATAGAACCCAGACCTTTTGCTGTTAGGCAAAGGTCTGGCTATGCAAGACTAGGTAGTTCCTAGTCTGGCGGTCCCGGAGATCCCTAGCTTGGTGGTTACTGCTTTGGTGGTCCCGAGAGTTCTTAGGCCAGTGGAGGTCCTTACCTGTCTTTGGTGCTCCCTCTGATGGCTACGCGCATTTCTGCACTGGACTCCTCTGGCTCCGGACCTTCCCCTGAGGTGGCAGCATCTGCTCCAGCTTTCTCTGCGGTAGTGAAGTCCACATCCAAGACACGACTGAAGTGGTTGGTCGTCACCGAGTTCTGTGACATGACCAAGGTGTTTGTCCCTGAGTTCCCTGTCACGGCCAGAAAGATTGTCTCTGTGTTCCCTGTGCTTCTTATCATGGCTATGATGTGGTCTCACCTTCAAGACCCTGGTCTGTCTTTCCTACTTCTCTCTACCACCTTCTCCCTCCTGAACATTACTTTTTTCTGTTGTTCTTTGTGGAATTATGAGCCACCCTTTAAAAGGGGAGGATTATGCCACAGTTTGTGGGTCTTTTTGTTCCACTTGGACTTTTAGTTTGTAGCTTTGTATTATTTCTTTCTTGAGGAACAGACCAACAGACCGACTCGCAATTGGAACATTTTGCGATTGACTTATTTTGCATAACGGAAAAGTGACTTGTGTAATAAAGTATAACAAATGAATTTATCTATATCATTCTCATTTGTTTTAACCTCCTTTGGACTGTCCTAAGCAAGGACACGCCCAGATGTGAAGATGCAGAACATGGCGTCCCATGAGAAGCATTAATGGTCTCTAAATTAGAGTGACACATTAAATGACATTGACTCATCCAAAATTACCATGAACTTGTTTTCCTCTCTCGATGCCGAACAACCTTGAACAGTTTTAGCATCTGACAGGAGTCTCATTCATCTTTTGATTTGATACTATACAAGGTTAATTTTGAAGCTATTTTTCTACATACAAAATCGCTCTCTGGGGATTTTCAAGCACTAGAAAAAGAGGAAATGGTGAAAGGATGTCCACTCAAGTGAATATTCCAGCTGCCGCAAACTGTTACTAGTAGAAAGGTTTGACCCTGAAGCCTGTGTTTTGTAACGTGAATAGCATGGGTGTCATGCTGTGGATCTTATTATAGTAGTCTATTCTCAGCTGGCTTAATGAATAAATCAAAATTGTCTTTGTACTATTGTACTTATAAATGCCATAGTCTCAGTATAATCTTCATTCAAATGAAGTAGCCTGATTAAAGTGTAAGTAAGGATTAAAATGTTATATGATTAATTCAGTTTGAGCCAATATTTGCACAGTGGTTTTCAAAATACATATTGTTCCAAAGCAGCTTTACAAAGAATAGTGCTTTCCAACTCCCGAGACAGAAAAGAAAAAATAAATAAATAAAAACTTTCTGAGATGTTAAGTAGATGAGCAAGAAAAAATGTGAGGATCCAAACAATTTATCAGCCTATTTACAGTAAAAAAAAAAAGACACTGTAATTTAATATTAACTTCTGACAGTATTGCAGTATGTGATACTGAATGATAATTTTTTCAGATAAAAAGATATCAGAAATAGCAAGAACAAAGAACAACAATTTCAGTAATCTATACAGTGTTTCAGGGGAAGCTACATGGCTTGGATACACAATACCCGCATACTATGAATTTTGCATGATGGATGGGAGCACTGCATGAGCCCTGATTACATTCCGGACATGCTGTGGATGAATACAATCAAAATGAATTCAGCAATCATCCTACACAATAACGCAATCCATGAATGCAAAGTGTGCTCTCTAGATGTGATATAAACATCAGTGCATGTTTGTCAAAGGAGACACAGGGCTGTGTTTATGGTGTTGTCTCCAACCCAGCATGATCATGATCCACTACTGTATGACCACCATTTGGTGGGGGGTAATTGAGAATGAATGGGGAAAGTCACGTGAATCACTGCCTCCATCGTGCTATGATTGGTTTTGATTGGTTCAGGTGATAAATTTTGCATTCATGAATCAGTCTGAAGGTACGTTTACATGACAAGAATCGTACTAAAATCGAAGCGTTTTTCCTTCGCATTTTTGAAAAGTTTTGCATAGACGGCAACATTGTCAAGACGATCCCTGTTCACATGGAAAAAAACAAAAACAAAACACTACAATACAGTACACTACACACATGTACACATACACATAATAGCCTATGCATGCACAGTCACAATTTTCACAAATTTTTGTTTTCGTCGTTTATACAGAGACAATAACGGTATAGTTTTCAACGGTATAGATGAAACCCATTTTCAAAAGTTTGCATTTTCAGGTCCCCAAAATGCCATTGTCGTGTAAATGAATGTTTTTTTTTGTTGAAAACGCTGTTGTGTAAACACCCCCGAAATAAATGATGGCATTAATGGGAATACTAATTAAAAATTAAGTCAACAACATACCCACTCATATATCACCACTTTGTCACTTTAAAATAAAAACTGAAATGACCTGAAAACATGATCTGTTTTTTTTTTAAAGTGAGTAATCAGCTCCCTCAAATTAAAGGTGGCTACATCTCCTTGTCTGTGATAAGTGTTTCCTGAGTTTTCATGACTGATGATCCGACAATAAGTTGACTTTCAAAAATAACAGTTGAACATCCGTTCATAAATAAAATGTTTAAATTGTTAAAACTCTTGGTTTTAATAAACATGACATTAATTACATCACTATAATGTAAAAACATATATAATAGAATCTCTTAAGAGAGAGAGACTTTTGATAGTGTGATGTTTATATATTATATCCTAAAGTGAGTAATCAGCTCCCTCAAATTAAAGGTGGCTACATCTCCTTGTCTGTGATAAGTGTTTCCTGAGTTTTCATGACTGATGATCCGACAATAAGTTGACTTTCAAAAATAACAGTTGAACATCCGTTCATAAATAAAATGTTTAAATTGTTAAAATTCTTGGTTTTAATAAACATGACATTAATTACATCACTATAATGTAAAAACATATATAATAGAATCTCTTAAGAGAGAGAGACTTTTGATAGTGTGATGTTTATATATTATATCCTTGTTATTTACCTTATTTGCATATGCCTATTAGCAGTGTTGGGGAAAGTTACTTTTAAAAGTAATGCATTACAATATTGCGTTACTCCATAAAAAAGTAACTAATTACGTTACTTAGTTACTTTTTATGGAAAGTAATGCGTTACGTTACTTTTGCGTTACTGTTTAAATCTGGACAGGGCTTGCTTGTTAGTTTTTTAAATAAAAACGTTCTATTTTTGGCAAATATATAAGCCTTTTCACGCCAAAAGTGAAATGAATAAGCCTCAGGCTGAAGGGAAAGTAAAATTACGTCCGTACTGTCGAATGCAGAAGAAATTTCAACACACTCCAGCAATAAAAAAAGACACACAAATGTTTGTCTAGAGTAATTTTTGCTTATTAGTACGGTTGAACAGGATCATCAAAGGTCAGAAGCAAAGACATTGGTTTATAGAATGGGATTAAATACATAAAGGATATTTGTGTTGTTTAAAACATTTAATTATTGCAGGTTTGCGTCATATTCTGAGTTGCATTATTTTTATTCATTTTGAGGAATACTGAATCTGTTTTTTTGTGTGTGTGAGTGAGATCTCACTCACACACACAAAAAAACAGATTCAGTATTCCTTTTTTTGCATTCCTATGCATTCCTTTCTAATGCATATTCATATTTATTTTAGAACTACTGTAACATCTGATTTCTGTCACCATGGGGACAGGTGAGCTGTCAATCAATAAATTGGGAAAAAAAGTAACTTGCGTTACTTTTTTTGAAAAAGTAACAGATATTCGCTTGTAAATTAAAAAGTAATGCATTACTTTACTAGTTACTTGAAAAAAAGTAATCTGATTACGTAACTAGCATTACTTGTAATGCGTTACTTCCAACACTGCCTATTAGTACCTAAATGGTACATTTTAGCCCCAGCAATAGCCTTTGTACCTTTATTTATGAGAGTGTAGAAGTGTGTCTGTAGCTACTATTACAATAGCAGTCACTTGGTTGGATTTTATCAAATGGCATTCCTGCATTTTAAGTGTATTTTAGGTGTCAAATTATTTTGAGCGGTCACTGTACATTTGACAGTGTACAGTGTCAAACGTACCCCCCCCCCCCTTTCTGTCATTGGATCCTCTGGGCATTTGAACACTCGCTCGTGTTGAGATCTGTCAACTCCGCCTCCAACCTGCCACGCGCTCATACTGCTGGATGTGAGAGCAGCGCTGCGCCCGGCATTCGCACTCCGCTGCTGACGCACGCACTTAATGTAACTATTTAAAACTGGCTTTAAAAGTTAGATGTAATAGAAACACTCACGTTTGATTCAGTCAAGTGAAATTCTTTAGCATCGTGAATAGTTCGAGAACACTGAACGCTTTGGCACAAACGAGCAGGCTATGGACAGTTTCAGACTGTGCGGGGAAAAGATGCTAAACATCAAGAAGTTGTGGATATAAACGGACAGAAGAACTGTGCTCATTCGTAATATCCTATGGCTTGAAGGTGAGGTGCATGTTACAAAACTATTAAATTCAATCTACCCCCTCTAAAAACAAATACTACTTGATTGAAATGATCAGTGAAATCAATTAGCTTTTTAGGCAGGTGTTTGCCATTGCTTCTGTTTGTAAAAAAAAAAAAAAACATATAGCGTAAATTTTTGATTGTAATATATAAAAATGCGTTTTCTGATTACTTAAGCAACTGAAGTAGGCTAGACTGCGCGAATGCACTAATGTCAAATTTACAAAAATCTCTTTGTATCTTAAAATATAGTGCTAAACACAATAGTATTATACCATAACAGCATTAATACCAGTTAGAACCTCATAAAATGTAACTTAAACAACATACAAGCAAATAACAAGCATCGGTATTAATATGTAATAAAATATAGCCATACATCATTTTGAGTTTCACTATAGATTATAAGATTACTCATATTTAAAAAAAAAAAAAAAAAAAAAAAAAAAAA